TCTTTGGCAAGTGACCATGGTTTAATCGGGATAATGCCCTTCCAGGTTTCCATAATCAGGAATTAATGGAGGAAACAGTCCGACGATCTGGCCTCCACGTTATCCATTACTGATTTATGTGATTATATTTCTATAGAGTCTCAGTAACAGAATTCATTTAACATCTTTGACTTCATATTGTTCTCTTTTTAAGTTGTTGTTTTCTTAATTTTGTATATTATTAAAAAATATAAAAAAAGATGGCTGACAGAATGTTGTTATTGATTGTACATTACAAACATTTATTAAAGGTTGAAATAACAAATCACTGAGCTGATTTGAATCATTTTGTTGACTTTAGTTTAGAGATTTATAGTCAGTGAGTATGTGGTTCGTTCACTTTTTAAAGCTAAACGAATGAACGCTTCACTGTGCTCATCGTCGTGGGTTCCTCGCCGACAGTCTTCAGATCAGTCAGTTCCTATAGTTCAAGCTGTTACATTGAGTTCAGAACAAAACTAGCCAATAAAACGACTGTTTAGAAGGTTATTAGCTCAGCAGGCTGCTATTTGTGACATATGATCTGGTAGAGTCTGTGGCAGAATACAGTAGGGGTGGGTTTTTGAAGATCCATTCTAGCGTCAATAGGATCGATACCAAACAGGGATCAGTCTCTTTTCTATGTTGCACCCATTTGTACTTCATCAAAGGAAGAACTGTCTGTACAAACAATCTCTTTTGTCTCTTCTTCCTCTCTTCTGCGTTCAGGCGCGCACGGCTGTGAATGAAAACGAGGTTCAACATTCAGACTACAGGCCCAAGTGAACTAAATCTGATTCTTTTTGTTCATTTGGTTGACTGACTTTAGTCTGAACAGTGTCAGAATTTGAGTGACTTTTTTTAACGTCACTGGACTGACATTCGTGATGTGTTCATAACTTCCGGACTGTGACCTATTCACACTGGAATCAGATATGGGCCACATTTAACAAATAATGTGTACAGCCAAACAAAAACAATCTGAGTTTGAGCAACAAATCAGGATGGAGCGATGGCTTGCAGTGAGAACGTAACCTAACTGAAGGCAAAAAGAATGGTTGAGGGTAATTTGAGCATCGTTCTACACAAATAAATGTGTGTACTGCAAAACTTTTTTCAGGTTTTGCACATTCAGTTTACAATAATAAAAAAAACTGCCTTTAAAAACTAATTATAAAACAAAAGAATGGCTTATTTCATTTATGGAGCACTTTAGTAGCATCACATAAACTCATTTACATTAAAGTACATAAGGCCCTTAAAATTCTGGCGGTTCTGGCCCTGTATTACTTGGTGTCGCCCACTCCGATGCAGTTGTATTTATTACTATTTTTATGAAACTAGTTAGTCTTTTTTAATTTAGCTGGTAAATTCCTGAATTTACGTTCTTTACTTTATTTCTTAATTCAAAAATTTCCCTCACATTTTAAAGCGGTTGCAATAAATATTCTTGTAACATGAAAGATAATTTATATCTGTTAGTTAGTGGTCGTCTGAAGCAGTAAGCAGAGCGAACTATCTTAAACTCTGAGTGAAGTTCATGATGGATTCTTTAGCAAATGTTTGTTGAACAGTTCACGTTGTCCCTCAGTTAGTTTGCTGCTGACTTTATTCATCGCTGATAAAGAGTTTTGTTTCTGTTTGAGGTTGAAATACCAGGAAAAACATGAAAAAATACAAAGTGACTCAATAAAAGATTTATTAAACAGTGTCATCAGGTATGTGTCAGCCTGGAACTTGACTTGACTTGACTCAGACAAAAGAGACACTGCTGGCTTTTCTTACTCTACATCTGTGTTCGGTTTAAAGGTCAACTTACCATCAATAATCAGTGTCAAAAAAGTTAATATATTACTTATTTCTTGTAAAGAAAAATGTAATTTTCTTATTACTCCCTGCCAAAAATAATGAGTTACACTACCAGTTATTTTACTTTTCCCATAAATTTGGTAATTGTGTCCATTCAGACGATTAAAGTCCAGTTTTGTTTGTTAAGATTAAGGATGTGATTGAATTGTTCGAATTTAAATCAGTAGGCCGTGCCAATAAAAGCAATGTTATAAAACTAGTAATAAGTTACTGGCCAACACTGTAAATAATTAAAGAAGAAGGGGCTGCTCAACATCATATGGGAAACAAGAATAAGAGAAGATAATAAGACAAATAAGAAATAAGACTTGTTACAGCAGTTCCAGATAAAACACAGCAGATAGGGGGAAAAAAGAAATACACATTAAATGACAAAATAAAACAACATTTAAAGAAAAATAATAGAATTAAAGTTGCATGTTCAGTAAGAAGCAAAAGATAAGAATTGTTTTATTTTTACTGGTTGTGTAGTCAGATGATTTAAACTCAACACATTTTGAAAGGCTAAAAATAAATACATAAAAACATTAAAGTGGACTGCTATTCACTTGTTTAGGGACTTAATGGCTCTGCACCAGAAAAACAACCCCACCCCCCTCACTGACCCACAGCTGCATGCTGGGAAAGAAGGACTTGCTCATCGTGGAAATGAAACTTAAAGTGGCTGCTGACGTCTGAAACAGGAAATGAAGTGAAAGAGTGCAGCCTGGTCCAAAGGGACACACAGACGCTTCACTGTGGACACATTGTGTACACTGTCAGTGCTGCGGACACAGCAGGGTGAGGGGCTGAAGATGAAGAAGATGAAGATCAAGCTGCTTTTTGTTACCATGGCGCTGGCAATGACCTCAGCGTTCATCGTCATAAATTCTGGACTCAGATGGAGTCCAAAACCAAAAACTACAACCGCAACTGCAGCTCCACAGGCGAGATGGACGTCAACAGGTGCACACACACACACACACACACACACACTTAAACCAATATATTTATAAAGGGTTTTAAAATCTAGAACGACTTCCTGGTTAAATGCAGGTTATATAAACAAACCAAAGCACACATAATTCATACTTTATACAATTAGAAGACACTTTTATTCAGAGGAAGTCACACTGTGGGACAATAAAGGGTTAATATTAGTCAGAGGGAAACTGGGAAACTGTGGTTTACAGAAGCAAAAGCAAGAGCAACTGTTTATTAACAATGTGCACAGATTTATGCTGCATTGTTTCAGGCAGATGGACGGAGGAGGGTCCAGCTTTAGTCCTGTGAGCAGCGTTTCATGAACAGACTGTTACGGGTTAGGGAAGAGTTGGAGGGAAGAATTAGCAAATTCTGGAAGCAAACATCACACTATCTGTAAAAGAAAAAGAGGAAAGCTTCTACAAAGGGATAATGATCCTAAAAATACGTTGAAATCCACCACGGTCCTCACAGTTTCCTGACTTAAATATCAGGGAAAATCGGATCTTAAAAGAGCTGCACATTCAGGGTGCCCCAAAAATACTGCAGCACCAGAAGAATGGGGAGAAATCCTAAATACAAGAACTGAAAAACTTCTAGCTGGCTACAAAAAGCGTTTACATGCTGTGATATCTGTGGGTCGGGGGGGTTTCCTAAGTACTGAGAGTGGAGGTCGCCCAAACTTCTGCACATGCCACAGTGACGCCCCGAAAACGTTGTGTATACAACAAAATGAAAACATACAGGCAGAGGGCAGCGTCTCTGCAGACACAGACATTAAGGAAGATCTATTGGCAGAAATGCAATATATTATTAATAGGTAGGTTTTTATTAGTGTACAATCAACTGAATATAAGGCTGTGTTTGTCTGCAGTAGCACAGAATGGATGAACCAAACACTGGCTTTAGATGGGGTCGTAGTTTTTCCTTTGTGCTTGGTTGAGTCTAAGTGGTTTCAGTTGGCTGCAATCTGCAGTCTCTCCACTAGATGCCACTACATCCTGCACACTCGACCTTTGAGTAGGGAAGTCCATAAGTATTCAGTGAATGAAACAGCGCGTCTGCTTAAGAGGGAGGAGACAGAGACTTCACTGTTTTCACTGAACCCGCTTTGTGGACTTTAGCTGAAGGTGTAATACTCTAAAATGGGCAAGAACTTTCCCTTTTTCACATCTATAGGCTGTCCCAGGGTGTGAACTATACTGTGGTTACTGTCGCAGGGGGGACATATTTTCTGATCTGAAGTTAAATTATATTGGACTGCCACACTTGAGTGTTGATGGAAAAGTGAATTAATGATGAGTCACCTTAATGCACGAATCATAATCAACATCAACAGGAGCCCAAGTTTACACATAATCCAGAAATAGAAATCCATGGCAAGAACAGCCTATTGCAGTCCCTCCAGGGCACTGTGATCCCTGTCTCACTGGAACAAGTTGCCTTCAGTTTTTAATTAATTATTTCTCTTTCTTCTGCAATACATGCAAAACATTACAACATACATTACAATTTTACATTTTACAACAATCCCAAAAAAAGCCTGCAGAATCCTGGAGGGGCTGATATTGTAAATATTATATTATAATATAAACCCCCCCACCATTTCATAAATACTATTTTTAGGGGAGCTCATGTATCATATTTCATGGCATTTATTGGCAATCTAATATATCAGCAAACGTATCATTCAGTAATGTTATTAGACACTATAGAATACAGAAACACAGTGTTAATATAAGAATCACAAGTTAAAAACAAGCACTTAAACAAATAAACATTTAAAGGAAAAGAGAAAGAAGAGTTTATATACTGCTGACAACTAGTTTCTGTGGTGTCTCTTCCTCTTTCATTCTGCAGGATCTTATGGACAAAATTTAAATGGGAAGATGTTCACGTTGTCTTGGAATGGAGGAGGAATATCCTTCTACGCCCCCACCTCTCCCATCTGGGCTTCCACTACTCCCTACCCACCCAGTACCAACAGCAGCCAACGCTATAGCACCACCGATCCCAACAGCACCCGACCCTATAGCACCACCGA